ACACACACACACACACACACACACACACACGCACACACGCACACACGCACACACGCACACACACACAAGGCTCACCACAGCACTGCTGTTTCTTCTTTTGAGGTCATGTGACTAAGCACAGAGGAAATGTGAGATCAGAGCAAAAGCTTACAGAATATCCAGCACAGCTGAAATGAAAGAAATAAAAAATGCTCTACTTCCAGTGACAGCCATAATAATAACAAAATAAAAAAAACTTTAAAGGTTTGAAAGTTTTCACAAATTGAGTAACACAAATTCATCTGTGCCAAATGCACTGACACACTTTTTTTCTCCTCAAATGATGTTTTAAACCTTTACTAGAACTTTTGTAATCCCAAGATGGTTACAGCTTTGTTAGAATACACTCAATACAACAAACATGGGCTAATGTGCAGTTCAACACACAGGTATGAAAATTAATACAAGGTTGAAACATAAGGGTATCAAAGGAGGAAAATGACTTTAGCGTTGAGTAAACAAAGTATTTCTAAATAAGCATTTTAATTTGTGAATAATACATGTGATCATTCCTCATGGCTGCCATTGCTGGACGCAGAAGATGTTATTATACTGTCAAGTAAACTATAGCCAAGGTAATAAGTTTTGTCAAAAACTGGGGGTGGGGTGGTGGTGGGGGTTTCCAGTTAAAATCCATTTTTAACTCCAAATGATGACCAGGACGACACGCACTGCTATATGCTGGAGCTAAACRTTGTACAGTAGTCTGGCCAATGTTAAGTGTAATGCAAGAGCATCTGAAGAGATCACTGAAACCATCTGATCCTGTGTTAATCTGTCCACTAAAACCATGCCACTCGTTTGGCCGAAGTGTGAATTATTATACGCCAAAGACAACTGTCCAAGAAAAACAAGCTTACTTAGTCTGGTGTGATTCAGGATTAGTTGTTAGCTTGCTAAATCTGTAAAAATTCTGTTACTGTTGCTGGCTAAATGGTGGCTGCGTTCTTCTCTTTCTAAGYTGCAGGTGCACTGAATGCTCAGTGATTGGTGACAGTCATCCAGACTGTTTAGTGRGAGCGTATCCCCGCGTTAGTGGAACTCTAATTACAAACCCATTTCATGTTCACCTGTAACACCAGCRCCACACATTAGTATTTATCTGTGTGGATAACCATTTGGAGTTTGAGTTTGCAGTGCGGTTAATGATAGACACTCTCTGGTTAATCACCCTGAACAAATGTCTTCAATCTTTGAAAAAAAAAACACACAAGCAACTAATCTATAGCTTTTACACTTTACTTTTTGAATTTGCATACTTACTGCTTTAGTGATTTTCTATCACAAATGATAAAAACTATCATGCATGACATGAGCACATTCATATCTTATACTTCATGTCTGTATACTACTGTCAACCCTATATGAAATGACTGCTGCCATATCAGTGAACTCACATCTATTATTTCACAGAGAAAAGAAAATTCAGAAAATAACTGGCCCCTACTATAAAGTCTAGTTTTTTACTTATTTAGCAACTAGCCTTGTTCTGTGCAAAGACCTTGTAGACCTTGTTGCTGCTCTAATATTTGATCGGGGTTTACMAACCAGCCGCAAAGTTAGCAGGTCATTTACAGGCCATATATAAGAGAGAACATTATTCCATCGAGCCATTCTTTTTCTCTGCTCGCTTCTCCTTTTTGGGTTCCAGGTCACTGGTACTTATCTCTAACAGTCACTTGGGGGGGTGGGGCACACCCTGGACAGGTCGCAGGTCCAAATCCAATAGCTTTCTACGTTAGCATAAATATTAATTATCCATAACAATTACATAAAACAATATGTCAAAATATCTTAACTATCCCTCTAAATATCAGAGTTGTTCAAATATTGGATTTTGGACCAGCTATTACACAGTTAAACTACTTTAATGACAAAAATTATTGCAAACCTTGGTATGTATAACTGTAAATAACAGTCATCTAATGGTTTGTTTATATTGATGCCAGGTCCATAGTTTTGTGCTTAGAGAAGCAGCAAATTCTGAAATTAATGCACGCTGTTTGGCATCACTCATGTGGAATTCCAAAGTTAACTGAAGCCACATTTAGCCATGAAAGTGAGTGAAAAATACACACACACACACACACACACACACAAGGTGATATATGCAGAGAAAATATACAAAAACTTGTATTGAGCAGGGGCCAGAGGTCTCAGACACGTATTCACCTTAGATGACTCTGGGTGAAAAACAACTCAGAGAAGAAAAAAGAAGGTAAGAAGAGAGTTAAAAACGTCGGTTCCCTGCTCCGGATTTTCAAGGACACACAACAGACAGCAAAACAGAAAAGTAATAGAGAATAAAAGGAAACTGTTTTCTTCAAAACAAATTTCCCAAGAACCTCAGTGTCAACTATGACTTGTTAACATGTCCTCATACTGGCTGTCTGCCCACCATAAGGTCTAGTTTAATTAGGCAGAATGTTTATGATTCACACTTTGTCAGGATATGAGAAATATAGCTGAGAACTTAGATCCTATTTATTTACAACAAATGGCAGTTTAAAACATGACGGTGGACAGGATATGAGTTATATAAAAAAGGAGAAGTGAAAATGAGGAAAGCAAGATGGCGACAGAGGARGAAATTCAGTAATGTGAAGTAAAGYGAGGTTAAAGGGCTCTGACTGCAGCAGCAAAAACCAGATGCTGGACGTTTTGTATTACACCGCATCACCGGCTGATGAGGATATCATCTATAAATGACCTGARCTGCCCTTTCTACTGATAGGAGCATTAAGGAAAGGTGGGGGGAGGGTGGGGGGCAAAG